TTGAATCCAGATTCAGTAGACTGAAACTCGTTATCAAACAACAGCAAATCTGCAAAAATAAAAAACAAAAAGAATAAGAAACTTATGGTAAAAAACAAGCTATAAAATTTTAAACCATGATAAGATTTCACATTTTACAGCAAAAAGTTACGATTTTTATGGTAAAAAACAAACACCTCACATAACTGAATCTGGATTCACTGCAGTGAATCTAGATTCACTCATGCGTTTATTTCTTCGAAATTACAGCACATACATTTATTTCTTCAACAATTCATTAAAAACCATCCTAACCATCCACGCTTTCGCTGGAGTGAATCTGGATTCACTCCAGTGAATCTGGAATCACTCCATTGAATCTGGATTATATTGAAGAATAAGAAACTTATGGTAAAAAACAAGCTATAAAATTTTAAACAAAAAGAATAAGAAACTTATGGTAAAAAACAAGCTATAAAATTTTAAACCATGAAAATATTTCATCTTTTACAACAAAAAATTACGATTCTCTCTGTGCGCTGCCAGTTCACCATCTCTGTGCGCTGCAGGGGCTTTATTGCAAAAAAACGTCGCTTTTTCCTTCGTGAATTAAATGTTCGTGACCATTCTCTCTCTTGAAAATTTTTGCCCCGTGACCGCTCTCTCTCTCCCCCAAAATATCAACGACTTCAAAAATTTCCCCAAATCCCAAACTCCGCTCATCTCACCTACATTTCCTCTCAATCTCTCCCCAAATCCGCTCACTACTGAGCCGCTGCTTTCTCCTCCGACGAGATCATCTATCCTCCGATGACATCAGCCCTCGACACCACGAGATCTCGAGCCTTCGACGCCGCTGCTTTTTCCTCCGACGAGATCAGCTCTCCTCCGCCGTTCCCCAAAGACACCACGACATCAGCCCTTCTCCTGCAACAGAGCCGCCGCTTCCCAAAATCCGCTCACGAGTTCTCGAGTCTTCGACGCCGAAGCCCCGTCGAAGACGCTTCCTCCTCTCTCTCTCTCTCGACGCCGATGCAGGTAAAAACCCTAACCATCTCTCTCGATCTCTCCCTCGATCCCTATGTTTGGATTGTGCTAAAATTGGAGATGGATGAATTTATTTGGTGATGATTTTTTGGAGATGGATGATATTTGTTGATAATTATCTGATAGTCAGGAGCAAAACTTTAGCGTTAATTATTAAGTCAAAGTGCGAAAATAACCCATATGAAGAGCTCAATTAGTTTGTGCTTTTAGTATTTTTCCACAGCAGTTGGTGTTTTTAGTATTATTTCACGAGTTTTGCTTTATTTTTTTTCGAATTGCACTCTTGAGACTAAATCATTGTCCTGGAATCGAAAGAAAATTAGAACTAACAAATGCAAATTTGGAAAAGAAAAATATATCTATGTGTGTTTACAGTATTAGAATGATGAGGATGCTAAGAAAAAGGAAAAGAAAAATATATCTATGTGTGTTTACAGTATTAGAATGATGAGGATGCTAAGAAAAATGAACTACACTGAACAAAGCAGTCTCATTAAGAATGATGAGGATGCTAAGAAAAATGAACTACACTGAACAAAGCAGTCTCATTAATGAAATAATGTGTATAAATGGTGTCAGTAATATGAAGACTACATAACGGGAAGGTGTCTAACAAATATAAAGCGAAAAAGAAATAAATAAGCATCAGGTATACACAGAGAAAAAGAAATAAATAAGCATCAGGTATTATTTTGCCATCTGAGTGTGTTTTTATTATTTTGCCAACTATTATTCACCATTTGCTATGAATATGCAAACTTTTATATCTGTAGCCGGGGATCATGGAGTCATCTTCAAGCAATCGTCATGTACTGTTGTGCCATTGTTGAAGGAGAGCTATACTCTCCAGATCTGGAACTAAGACGAACCCTGGTCGATTGTTTTTTGGATGCCCTAATTGGAAAGTGAGAAATTTTGGATTCCTTAAATGGGAATCTGATGAAGAGGAGTTTGAAGGTTCAAAGACAGAGCTTGATCAGATGAAGCAGTGGAGAGCGACGCCGCAAGTTTCAAGAGCCGTGTCAAGTGGAGAAGTGCAGGAAAAGAGAAAGATTGAGATTGATATTATGTATTTGTTGAAGCTTATTATATTTGTTCTTTTAGTTGGTATTTTTATTGGATTTGTGCTAAGTAGAGTGTGAGAACGTATTATTGGATTTGTTATCAGTTAGTACTTTGTAAATAATAATGTTATCAGTTTGATGTTATTGGATTTGTGCTTATTATAAGTTGAAGCTATTAAGCTGCATTGGCGCAATGCTGTACTAAGTTCTAGAGTATCAGGGGGTGGAAACTGGAAGCATCAGAGTCAGAGCTGGCAGTGAATTTTAATTTCAACACACAAATTCTATAGATGTACATGTTATCATGTATTTGCTTCTCAAGTACAAGAACAATGAATATCACAAATGAGCTTCATTGACTTCTCAAGTACATGTTATCCTGTATTCATCGGCATACATACGATCAATTATTAAATATTGCAAGCAGCAACAACAGCAGGCAAACTCGTTAGACATGGCCAGCATTTGATTATTCTCAAATAAACTCAAATAAACAACAACCACAAACAAGCCCTTACAAATTTCTAATAAACTCTAGTAATTGGAAATTGTTGTAAGCAAGTCAAACACAAATTTACCTTTGACAGAGGAGGTGCATGATGATTCCAGAAACCTGAAACCTGACCTGGAAATAGCAAATGATAATAACTCACTTAAAAACGACGTTTGGAAATAGCAAATGATAAACACATATGCAGCACAAATGTATCAACCATAATATAATACATCCAAGAACTCTCACAAATTTGATACACTTTATTGTTTCAAAACAGAAAAAGTTACAACTCTTGTTTCAAAACAGAAAAAGTTACAGTCTAAGCTACTTGGATGTTCTCTTTGCCAGTCCCAATTATATTCATCATCTATTCATCATCTTCTTGGAAAAAATAAGTTTGTGAGTAAACAAAAAATAAAACGACAATAACCACAAGCTGAAAAAGGAAGCATACGACAATAATGGAATAGCAGAAAAAATAAAACACGGATCATATGACAATAACCACAAGCTGAAAAAGGAAGCAACTATCACAAATCGAACCCCAGGTTTAACTGCTTATAATAACAAAAGCAACAGGGGCTCATAATCGATAACTTAGGTTGCAAATCTGAAATAACTGTTCAAAAGGTTCTCACAAATCATAGGTCTGTCAAATAATGATAAAGATAAAATTCAACGAAGTAGAAAGTTATGATTCTTATGAACACGTGTGTCAACATAGAAAAGTTAATCAATGTTAAAGGTTGACAATGTATTTTCATTGTGCTGCACTCATAGGCAACCAGAAGATGCAAAGTTGCATATTATTGTCATAGCTAAGATCCAATCAATAAGAAAGATAAACTAATATGGAGTATGAAGCTCATGCAATGCCAAGACTTTGCCAGTACTTCCACAAATACAACCATACCAGACTCCAAACTACCAGAGCTAAATTTGTTCCACCTAATCTTCAAAAGTTTTAACTTGGACAAACCAAAACCCATATCAAGAGCTAAGGTACACACATGGACCTCGAGCAGAAGCCAGACTGTATTCAAGTGCACATAAAAAAGAACTTTGTGATCCAAACTCATAATACAATAGTACCAAATATAAATGAGTGACCCTAGCAGAAAATGAGAACGCAACTTCTGTTTGATTTGTTCAACAGTAATGGCAATTTGCTCAATTTCTTTATTTGCATGTATATGGTTCGAGACTTCGAGGTGAATGACTAGAAAAACTAAATGAAATCTAAATGGAGTTTGAACACATTCCGACTTACTTACATGAACAAATCCATGCATGTGGAGTTTGAAGAATCCAGACATATTTTCGTTTAGCTGCAAATCCAAATCCATGCATGTGGAGTTTGAAGAATCCAGACATATTTTCGTTTAGCTGCAAATCACATGACAAATTAATCATATAATTGTACTGAAGAATCCAGACATATTTTCGTTTAGCTGCAAATCACATGACAAATTAATCATATAATTGTACCAAGACAAAAATTATGTGTTATGAACTTTCATGAAAAAATATTAACTATACCTTGGAAAGTTGACTTTACAGCTAGTTCTATAATGCCCGAGCTCACCACATCTGCTACATATACGTTTCTTCCTTTCTTTCTTTTCTTGTTCTTGTTCTAAACCTGACTGGATTCTATTTGCATTGCGTGGACGACCTTTAGTCCTTGCAGCTCTATCAGGATCACGAACTGTAATCTGAGGAATGTGCTCCATTGTATGTGAGATGTGTGCGGAAATTTGAGTATCCACTATTTGATCTTGATTTGAGGAATGTGCTCCAACTTCTTCTTGCAATGGTTCTATAAATTTTGTTAGCACATCATCTAGATTTTGCATCTTCTCTTCTGAAGCAAATGCAAGCTCGAGCGCATTATTGAATTTTGCTCTTAAGGCCCAAGATTTCAATAAATTAATCTTCTCTTCACAGCTTGTGATGTTTCTTCCATATATAATGTTGCCAACCCCAATGTTACAATGTCGAGCATGTATAGTCCAACGGTGAAGGATGTAATGGTCGGGTAATGAATCCATTTGCCTAGCCATCATTAGCGATAATATATGTCTACATATAACACCATTAGTTTCAAACAAAGCACAAGTGCAACGGAACTGCATCTGACTAGATTGCTCATAAGTAACCACCTCCCATTTTCCTCTATCTGTAAACTTACAGACTTTGTATTCAACAATGTCCCCATCTTTTCTCAATTCTTCACAAAACTCTGTACCAAATCCTTTGAATTCAGTTTGGAACACATCAAACATATTGCGTGTATACATTTCTCCAGCTTGGACCTCAATTGGATGTCCAAGGAGCATGACCGTCTTTGTGTTCAGACTCTTAAAATCTTCATGGGCTTCACTTAAGCGACGATGAGTTATTGCTTTTTCATATTATGTCACAAACTCGTGTAATTGAGTCTGTGAGTTAACATACCCATCAAAAAATGCATTAATACTTTCACTCCTTTGGCTCGATCTCATTCCAGCAAAAAAAGTGTCCTTCAGATAACACGAAACCCAGTGTTCTCTGCAGTTGTAAACTGTTTGCAACCATCCCTCCCCTTCTTCATTTATATCAAACTTCTCTTTTATCTCAACCCAATATCCTTCACATTGTTCAATTGAAGAACTATTGCACCACAAGCCCCAATACCTTTGAAACTGTTCACCATAACGAGATACCAAAGTAGGCAAATGATTAATAATATGCTTTTGCATGTGCCAATAGCAATAACGGTGTCTTGTCGTTGGAAACACTGAGTGAATAGCGTTACACATTGCTCTATCCTGATCTGTTATAATAGCACCTGGTTCAATACCATGCATGCATTTCAGCCATTCTTCAAATAACCAAACAAATGTATCTTCCTGTTCATCAGCTAATAATGCACAACCAAGTAAAGTGGACTGCCTATGTTGATTTACACCAGTAAATGGAGCAAATGGAAAACCAAGTAAAGTGGACTGCCTATGTTGATTTACACCAGTAAATGGAGCAAATGGAAGACTGAACTTATTAGTTCTGTATGTCACATCAAACACAATAACATCACTGAATTTCAAATAAGATGCTCTTGATCTTCCATCGGCCCAGAAAACACTCCTTATTTGTCCACTACTGTCTACTTCTATTGCAAAATAAAATTCTGGATCATTCGCTGTCGCACTCTGAAAATGTCGAATGATAGATATGCATTCATGACCAATATTGTTGACTCTTTGGGTTCTGATATGATCAATACATTGTTGTGATGTCACTAATTCACTTTCTCTTCCATTAGTTGCATTGATGACGCGAGAAATAGTGGAAGGAGGCATACCTTCTTCTCGCAGACTATCAATAAGTTTTTTACATCTTTGGGTTTTATGGAATTGTTGATGTGATCTGTGCATTTTTGCTTTGTCTGGACTACTCAACACATGATTTGTATGTTCTTCAACAAACTCTGTGACCTCCCACGATTTGTCCTCCAATATTTTCACTCGCATCATTGCTTTACATCCCACCCGGGTCTCTCGCCGAAGATGAATCTCCATCTTGTCTTTATTAGATTTATAGCCCTCCTTATTACAAACAAACTTTCTGTCTACCACTTCTCTAGTCTTGCGAGAGTAATTCACCATGCTCTTTCTTATTCCAAAACCCATCAACAATGCATATGAGTTATAATAGTTATAAGCTTCTTCATAACTATTAAACTTCATTCCCATAAGTGGTTTAGGAGCATTTACACTAGTTGAATTTGTTTCCTCCATTCCGAACTCTACACTGGTTGAATTTGTTTCCTCCAT